TTTTCGCGATTTTTCAGTCTATTCCCGGTTGCTGGAGAGGGGAGCATTTAGAATTATTTGGTGTGTCCCGTCCCCCCCCCACACACACACACACAAGCCCCGTTTTGTTTTGGAAAGGCTTTTTGCCTTTTGCTCTCATGCAAAGTTTTCTGGCGGTCAAGTTTGCTGCTTGGGGAGAAACAGCTCCTGGCTGCGGCTGATGGACCTGCCCCTAGCAGCTTCCCTGCGGGTCCGCGGTGGCTTCTGGCTTCCTTGGCTGCAGGGACTCTGGCAAGGGGTGAGGGCGGGGGTGAGGGCTAGCTGCTCTGGCAAAATCTCAGCGGCCTCGGGCTGAGCCGACAGATGCTGGAGCTGCCGAGCGGTGGGCATCAGGCACCAGGCGACACGCTCTGGGTATCTGGTAAGAAAGAGTCCCTGGCAATCCTGGGGACGGAGGGCAGGGCGGCCTTGGGCAGAGCCGAACAGCCCCTGGAGCTCGGAGTCCCTGGGGACTAGGAGACACCCAGCTCGAGGCTGCAGAGCTGAGGCTGTGCCCAACTGGACGCCCACGGACCTCTGAGCAACTCTTGACAGGCAGTCCCCCGACCAAGGCCAGCCCACTGCTTTCAGAGGTGGAGGGAAGGAACGCCCACGCGCTTCCTAGACTAGCCAGCCGTCAGCATCCCTAAGCCTTCGGATGCACCTGTTGAGGGGGACAGACCCCGGTCCAGGAGCTTCACGCCTTTGCTGTCACTAAGGCGAGCGGGGTAGTAGCCCGAAGAGCCCATCTCCGCTAAGTCGCCGCCTCTGTCACCTCGCCGCAGCGCTAACTTACTCTTCTTGCCTATCCTAATCCTCTGAATCCGCCCATGGCCAGGGCCAAGGTCACCGCGCTGGTCACCAGGCCTCCCTGGTTGACCGCTCAGAGGCCCCTTAGGCTGCTGCAGCCTTAGCTCGACAGCCTTCCTTTCTGAGGCCTTTCAGGCGCACGCCGGAGCGAGCGGTGGCAGGAACCCCTGAAAGCTGTGCGTTGGTTCTGAGTGTCTGACCTGGCTCCTTCTGTTAAGGACTTTTACGCCTTTGGGCTTGAGCTGAAGATGTCTCGAACTCTCAGCACTAAAACCCGACCAGACCGATCGCGAATAGCGCCTCCACTTTTTGGACCCCAGAAAGTACCGGTTCATTTTATGGCGAGCAAAGTGGTAGCATTTTCAGTCAGGCACCCTGCCCTTGCTGATAACCCCTCAGAAAGAAGAAAAAGGGGAACTGGTCTGGGATTCCTAAAAGCCGTCGCCAAAAGTGTTTATCTGGGTGGGACCCCTGAACCTTGGACTACCCCACACTCAGCGATGCCTTGGGAATTCTGAGCCCAGCACTCAAAGAGAGACAAGGGGCCCAAGACTTTGCTTCTGGCATCTAGCCCCAAGCAGAACACCTGAGATTCCCACCCCCGCCCCCAGCTCCTGTTCAGGCACCTGGAGGTTACTGGAGCTAAATATCCTGGGCCCCTGGGTTGTCCCTTTGTTCTGGCAACGTCCACAGAGGCTTTCTGGCCCCCTGCAGCCCCTCCCGAAAAGTGACTCTTCGTCCCCGTTTTTGTTTGTTTGTTTGATTGTTTTGGTTTGGTTTGGTTGGGATTCCCTGAATTGGGTCCTGGTCTTTCCAGTCTGGAAAGTGGGTCCCTGCCCCGTTTTATTCACGAGGACACTTTGAACTTTATTTTTCATCGTCTACTGGGACGATCGGAACTTAGCGTGCTTTACATCTGCATGCCTGTGTTCTGTTCTTCCTTTCGAAACTCCTGTAGTCTGACTAGACTTTGCTGCTTCGAAATGGAAACCCAGAGCAGTGTTTTCAGCTTAGGCTCAAGAACAGGGCATGAAGACACGGAGTTAGGATGGTGGTTTCTGGGGTAGCTTGGCAGGCCTGCACTCGGCTTGGGTTCAGCTTTTCTTCCACCCTTCGCCTCCTTAGCTGAGCCAGCCGCCAAAGACTTTCTCCCTGCTCCACTCCCAGGTTCCTGGCTACCACCTGGAACCACCATTGTTGGGCGGCTGCTTTGCTTGGCAACGGCAAGTGGGTGCCAGTATCTTAGCCACAGCGGACCAGTCGGGCAGCTTGGGAGAGTTTCTTTTAGTTCAGAAATCAGAAATGCTTTGAGACGATCTTTCCACCCTACGCGAAAGCTCTTGGATTTTTCATTTTAGTGAACTTCCCTTACACGGAGGTGTGAGCAATGGAGAGTCCAGGCTTCCAGAGCGTCAGAACCCTGTCCTTGATGAGAAACTGTTGACCATCTCACTTCTTTTACAGGGAAGAAACAACTCAGTGTGGGAAAGTATTCACTCCCTTGTCCAGTCTCCGCAGAGAGATTTTCACCGGCGACTGTGTGTCAGTGTACACAGCCTCTGGGGTGTACAAACTCCACATACGGGGGTACCTCTGCTGACTATCTGGTTTGCGTTTGTAGGAAATGAAGCCTCTCCCTCCCACCCCCACCCCCCACCTCCCAGTGACTGCAAGGCAAGCCCCGTCTGCCTGAGGTTCCAGTGTTAGGTCAGTCCATCACTTTCTAGAGCCACGGCCGAGCTGACGTTCCTGAAATTTCCAAGCTGGAGCGGTGGGGTGCCCAGCTGCTTCTAGAAGCCACCTTAGCCCAAGACTTCTAGGATTTCTGTGTTCCTGCCTCCAGGCTACAGAGCAATTTTTTAATTGAAGAAAGCAGCAAAGAAGGGGGGATGGGCGGGACCCTGCACTCACTTGCCTTGAAGGCAGCAAACTCCAGGCCTCCTGTTTATCCTCAAAAGCCACGGTTTTACACCAAGCCCACAAGAGGGGGGTTAGTTAGGGGGGAGTCTCCAGGTTCTGTGGACACACACACACACACACACACACACACACACACTTGCTTTTTATTTTACCCTGAACTCCTGCTCAGCTCAGCCTCAGCTCCAGGTGGTCTGGTGCTAAGCTCTGGTTGCTCTCAGCCTGGTTGCTCTGCTTCCAAAGGCAGCCTTCACCCCAGCTCAACACGCATCCCAACAGTCAGTGCAGGCGGCAGGGTCCAGGAAGCTTGAACCCCAAGGGTCTGTCTCCAGCCCCTGAGAATTGTTCTAATCCCTAACCCCCCCTGTTTCTCCTCTCTCCTTTTCCTTCTTAAGTCGATTTTCATGCAACACCTGGGTTTTCGTTTCTCCTCCCTTCGCTCTGTAGCTACGAAGTTTAGGAAATATACAGGTCAAAATTCTTTCAATTAGCTATTTTTTTTAATGCAAAAAGAAGAAACGGAAATCGAGATACTTCTCCCACACAACAGTTTCAAGAGCAAAAAACCCACTGCCAAATTCACATTCGCACCAGAAAGACCAAATAAACAAAGTTAACTGAATCTAGAGGAAACCACCTCTGACTCACTGAAGGAGAACCTCAGTCAGCGAAGTCTCCAGTCGCAGGCTCCCCAGGTTGAACCTGCCCTGCCCCTGCCTACTGTCCCCCTCGCATCTTCCTTTTGCCACCTGGTTCTGCCCACATTTCCCTAAACTAGGGAAACAACTCAAATCCTCTCTTTGGGTCCAAAGAAACGTGGGCCAATATTCCGGCCAAGTTCTGTCCCTTCGTTTTAAAGTGTAAGATTTGTTAGAGAAAATAGAATAAGGGGAGCGGAGTGGAAGAAAGTTTTTTTTTTTTTTTTTTTTTTTTTAAAGAACAAAACAACAACAAAACCCGGGAAGCCCTGAGCTGCAGCGGTGAGTGTGTCAATCAAATGGTTTTGTGCCTGGGGGCGCCTCGCGGTTCAGCAGAGGTGTCCCTGGGCGGCCCCACAATGAATATGAATAAGAATCCTTGCTAAAAGAGACAGCAAAGCGCACCGCCCTGAATGATGGCACGTCATCTTAACCAGCCCAGGATAGATAGGACGGCTCCTTTTGTCTCTTTTCTCTGCCGCAGCGCTATAAAAGCCCCTCTTTTACAGCAAGAGGTTAGTTCAGGCACACACCAACAAGGAGTGCAGGAAACAGCGAAAGCAGAGGGAGATAGAAAGGAAAGCTGGGAGAGAGAGAGAGAGAGAGAGAGAGAGGCGGGGCAAGGCAGTTCCTTGACTTGTCTTTTCCCGTCACACAACCGAGAAGTGGGTTCGTGGGCCTTGAGATTTTATTATTATTATTATTATCATTCAAGATTCTCTTTAATTTCCCGCCTAAAGCCTCCTCAACCATAAGGTCTCAACTTCTGTAATAAAATGAATTCTGATTCGAGCTCTGTCTCCAGCAGAGCGTCATCTCCGGACATGGATGAGATGTACCTCAGAGACCACCACCACCGCCACCACCACCACCACCAGGAGAGCCGCCTCAACTCGGTCTCATCCACGCAGGGAGATATGGTGCAGAAGATGCCTGGGGAAAGCCTCTCTCGGGCTGGCGCCAAGGCCGCAGGAGAAAGCAGCAAGTACAAAATCAAGAAGCAGCTGTCGGAGCAGGATCTCCAGCAGCTGCGGCTGAAGATCAACGGACGCGAGCGCAAGCGCATGCACGACCTGAACCTAGCCATGGACGGTCTGCGCGAGGTCATGCCCTACGCGCACGGGCCCTCGGTGCGCAAGCTCTCCAAGATCGCCACGCTGCTCCTAGCGAGAAACTACATCCTCATGCTCACCAGCTCGCTGGAGGAGATGAAGAGGTTGGTTGGCGAGATCTACGGGGGACACCACTCGGCTTTCCACTGTGGGACTGTGGGGCATTCGGCCGGCCACCCGGCGCACGCGGCCAACGCCGTGCACCCGGTGCACCCCATCCTCGGCGGAGCGCTCTCGTCCGGGAATGCCTCGTCCCCGCTGTCCGCCGCCTCCCTGCCGGCCATCGGCACCATCAGACCTCCGCACTCGCTGCTCAAGGCTCCGTCCACGCCGCCCGCGCTACAGCTGGGCAGCGGCTTCCAGCACTGGGCGGGGTTGCCCTGTCCCTGCACCATCTGCCAGATGCCGCCGCCGCCGCACCTGTCCGCTCTCTCCACCGCTAACATGGCCCGGCTGTCGGCGGAGTCCAAGGACTTGCTCAAGTGAGCCGCGAGCCCGCCCGGAGGAGGAGGAAGAGCTGAGGCAGGGGTCGCAGGCCTGGGCCGGGAGGGAAGAAGGGGAGACTGCTCGGCCTGCGGGAGGGTGGGTGCGCGCGGCCACGAGGCCTTGTCGGCCGCCCTAGAGGGCCGGATTCTACCTTACCGGCCCCGGCGGGGAGTACCAAAACCAAACTTAGTGAAGGGAACCGGAACCCGACGTCGTGTTTTGCATGCATGCTTCTTTTCCTCATGCAGCGCCAGTATTTCTCACTGCCATATGCTCTTGTCAAAACTTCATTTGTTATTTAAAGACGGAATCGGTGGAGTTAAAAACTTGCAAAAACAAAACAAAAAAAAAAACTTTCGAGTTGGCTTTTTCTGGCTGTGTTCTTATCTTGGAGGAAAGATGGCCACCTCTTTTGTGCAAAGCAAATGTAAATATTTCATCGAGCTAGATGCAGTTATGATTGTCTCTGTCCTTATAGATTTTCTAGAGACAATGGGGGAGAGAAAGAGAGAGACAGGGAATCCAAGTTTTGGATCTCACCTTCCTTCCGGGGCATGAACCTCTTATGTGGGTTTTCCTTTCCTCAAAGTATAGGTCAAAAGAATGCATGCACGCTTCTAAATGAATCTTGTCTAAACATGTTGTGCAGGCCATAGTGCCATTTTCCTTGTAACAAGGATTTATTAGTGAACTCTCCAAAGTACTCCATATATCTCTCTGTGGTTGTATGAAACAAAAAGGGAGCCAGAGCGCAAAGATTCTCATTCAGTACAGATGTGCTTGCTTCTTTCTCTAAGCCCATGTCTGTCCCTGCCCCTCAAACTTCATTCCAACCTTAGGGCTATGCCAAGGGACCCATGGCTACAAAACTGGGCCCCTGCAGTAGTTCAACCCATGCCCTTGCCAAATTATTCTGCATGCTGGGTTGGCTCTGTCTGATACCCCTCAGCTCTGAAAACCTACTGTGTTTTGGGGAGGGCTGCCACTTTTATTTTCCTGAACATTTGCTTGAAATATTTTGTTAGGGCCTCAAAGACAATACCTGTCTTTATTTTTTATATATTCTTGATAAGTATGATATATTTATTAATAACCAGTGTTTCTGGATGAGATTTCAAATAAAAAAGAACCTTTAAATCCGGTATTTGCCTTTGCTTAAATCAATAATGGTTGTGGGATAAGAAACATTTGGGTCCAGCAAAGAGTGCCTGGGTATGGGTGAGGGATTTTGAAGGAAGGTTTTTCTCTGGTCATTTACAAGAGAAAAGAATGGATAAATTGATGCTAATTATTGGACCTAAATGTCCTTCAAACTGAATGTTTTCTGTGTATGTGCTGCTTTCCTGTTTGAGCTCCTTATTTCTCTGCAGTAATTATATCCCCATAGACTCAAGAATTAAGATTAAAAAAGCATCTGGAAGCTCAAGGTGGCAGGCAGTGAGATGCCTCATGGCGACTGTGAAGACTGTGCTTGGTAACAGAGAAGCAGTAAGTTCACTTCTTTTTCGCTTTAAAATGACCTGTGTAGTCCTTTTACCCCAGGTGTGACAACCCAGTGTGTTTTAAAAGTTAAGGAAGAACCAAACACTCATCCAGCCCGCCTGCCTGGAGAAGAAAGGAAATCCCCTCCGCTTTGTAAGTGAGCTCTGGGTGAAGGTGAACAAGGGCCCTAGCCTAGCATCCTAGAGATTCTTAGTAAGAATTCTTGCCTGTTTTCTTTTTATTAGAAGATTGCTGTTGTGATTAGCCAAAACACTGGGGCACCTTTAGCTTAAACATTAGCTAACACAGGGTCATGGGTGGTGGGGGCATTTTTATCAATTTCATTTTGCTTTTCACTTTCACCTCCCACATCTGCAGTGGAAACAAAAATCTTTTTGAATAAACAAGTAGTTGAGCTCTGGCGGCTGCAACTGCAGTGTAGGGCCCAGGGCCTCTGCTTCTCCTGGAAAAACCAACCCAAAAATGGACTTCTATATTAGACGATGTAATGCCACCTCCCAGTCAGCGAGGCTCTGGCTCTTTCCAGGATACTAAGAGTGAATCTAGAAAACCCTTGCCCTCCCCTGGCTAGGTCTAGAATGCCTGCCTAAAGCCTGCGTCTTAGTGAGTCACCTCTGTCCTGCCTCTCTGTCTGCCTGCTTCCCCATCCCTGTATCCACCCACCACACAGACCTTAGTCAGAAAGCATATGAGTACAGTCTGCAAGGGAGGCTGCTTTCTCCTCTGCTTGTAGTCAGACAAATGGAAAAATAATCGTCTGTTTCCCAAGTGTGATTCATTTCTCTGGGTGAGAAAACAGCCTGTTGAGGATTTATTTGAGACCAACAGGATGCACAGGCTTTGCAGGGGTTTGTTATACAAAAAGAGGAGGGGAGGGGTGGTTTCATCAATCAGGAAAGCAACCCACCCCTGAGCCTCTTTCCTCTTTTGAGTCCCTTCCTGGGGGAGACCCCAAACCTCCTGTCTGAATCAGGTTGGGCTTCTCTATCATCCAGACAAGAGCTCTCTCTCTCTCTCTCTCTCTCTCTCTCTCTCTCTCTCTCTCTGTGTGTGTGTGTGTGTGTGTGTGTGTGTGTGCAAGCTTTTGCTTTGAGCTTCCTGAGTTGAGTTGCCTTTAGTGATCCATTTAATGAGCTGTAAGTTCCACTCTCTTGGGATAACAGAAGCAAAAGGAATCTGAACTGCAGGACTCTATTACTATTTTCAGATGTTCACTGAAATAGGAAATAGACAACCCTCCCAAACAACATAGAGAAGGTCTTACAGACATCCCAAGCTCTTTTCCTGGCCATAGAAAAAACTTTCTTCTGCAGTCCGAGAGACAGAGCTTTCTTAAAACAAGGCAGGGACAGGGAGAAAGTCCACTCAGGAGTCGGGTTTCTGGATTTATTGAAAAGGAGAAAATGTTAGCTCACATGTGCTGGACCTAGGCCCCTACACATAGGTAACTGTTGGGCAGTTTGATCTTCACGTGGGTTCCCTAGCAAGCTGAGCAGGTGCTGTCTGTGACATAGGCTCTATTGCCTGCTTTCCATAGGTCACTTTGGCCTAGCTGGGATGCCTCGACTGGCTGAAGTGGATGAGGAGGAGCCAGTTCTGATGCTTGATGTACTGTACTTGATGTACTGGGGTGGGTTGGTGCCCCCCCCTTTTCTGAGGACAAGGGGGCGGGGGATGGGATGAATCAGGTAGGAGGGAAGATCCAGGAGGAGAGCAAGGAGGAGGCTATGTAAAGTAAATATACAATTTTAAAATAATATTTTTAAAAAAGAAAAGGAGAAAATATCACCAGTGGCCTCTTGGGTGTGTGTGGTGTTTGGATTCTCCCTTGGGTGTGAGTGTACAGCTCACACTTTTGAGTCCCTTTTCCTCTTTTGAGTCCCTTCCTGAGGGAGACCCCAAACCTCCTGTTTGAATCAGACTCCAAACCTCCTGTCTGCTTGCATTTTTTTCCTGTTAAATTCTTAAATTACTCACATCATGACATTGAGGTGAAGGTAATGACAATTCTTTCTCAGAGGATTGTTTCAGTCACTTATTAACACCCTCTTCAGAAGTTCAAAGGTTTAAACTATTTTAAATTCAATCTAGAAACAAAGCCAGGATGCCTCCAATTCCTGATTAGAAGTTGCTTTGCACTCCAAGAAGAAATAAAATCCCACTAAGAAAAACCTCTGGGAGCCTTCCCTGTCCACTGACTGTGAACTTCAAGAGAAAGTCTCCAGAGGAAAGTGAAAGTGAGGTTGGCTTTAGTTACCAGGCCTCACCCAGCCCTCACCACTCCTCCCCTCAACTCAGAGGCCTTGGACTTACCTCTGGCAAAAGATCAGCCAGTACTGGTGAAACCCCAGGTTTCCTAGTTCCAAGAACAGGAAGGTCCAGGTATCCTCAAATTGCCTTCTCCTGACTTCTACCAAGCTCTGGGGCCCTCATAAAAAAATGCAAAGCCTTCTTAGCACAGAGGGATGGGTTCCAGGAACACTAGCTCAGACCCATAGATTTTTCCCTGCCTTCCAGGTCCCATAAAGAGACCTCACGTAGAGAGACTCCTCTTCCCATCTGCCTCTGGGACAGTGCCCCAAATGGTCCTCAAAGGCTGGCTTTCATGTTGAGTGCGAAGCTCAGAGGCCTCCTAGTCACACTTGACTCTGTGGCTAGTGGCTAAACTGGCCTAGGAAGCAGGACAAGCCAGTCTCCTGTCTGAAGGCCTCTACACAGAAGTTCAACCTTGCCTCTTGAGAGGCAGTTCATTGCTTAGAACAGTCCTCTCCCTGTCTGGGGGCTGCCTGTGCCCCAAGCTTAAGTCTACCCTAGCATCTTGTCCAAGCACTCACCCTGGGTGGTCCTAGACTTAGGATCTTGCTGGACCTCCACTCACAAGATTTAGGGGAAAGAAGAATGAAGGAATTCAGAAATGGGGAGAGGGAAAGAATGTAAGAAGAGAGGGAAGTACAGAAGAAGAGAGGTAAGGAGGCAGAGAGCTGGCCCACAGAAAGGTCCTGGGAGTGTCTCTGGAAGACCTGGGCTCAAGGAGGGGCCCTTGGTAGGGACTTTGCCTCTCCTGACAGTCTCTAAGAGCATCCCAGTCTCCCTAGCCCACAGCCTTGTTGCCCAGCTCCCTTAGGCTCTTGGCTATGGCGCTGCACTGTCTTAAGGGGTGCGATTTCAGTGAGAGCCACACACACCCCACCAGACACTGCCGATTTGGGAGCGCAGGGGATCCCAGAGAGGGTGCGGTCCAGCGCAGCGCTATGGGGAAAGCACAGGAGCGTTGGAATCCAGATGGCTGACTGCCTACCCGCCCGCGGATGCGAGGTCCCTGTCTCCAGGAGCTCTTTCTGGCACAAGCGCACATCCATCCATCCTCAGACTCCAGCTCTGCACCGGCTCCGGGGTTGCGGCTGGGGCTGAGTCCCGAAGGAAGAGTCAGTCTGGATACCCCTACTCCAGGCTTCAGTTCCCGCCCCCAGCCCCATAAGCAGGTGGGGCTCTGGTGT